TTTTTTTTTTTTGTTTTAAACCTATAATTATCTCTTAATTTTAATTATTTATCTTCTTATTGAAGTAAATATTTATTCTTAGTTATTCAATTTATACATAAAACAATTACCAAAAAAGGGCTAAAGAAGGAAATTTTGATGAATAACAGAGTGCTTAAGCATTATAATCTATCAAGAAAGAAAGCATCAAGGGGGAAAATAGCCAAATATAACAAAGTGGGGGAAAGGAAACATAAGAAAGCAAGCTAAATGAGGTGATTAATTTCAAGAGCATATCAAATCAGAAGGTAGAGAATACAAGAGAAATTATATATAGCAACTGCATGAATGAATTATGATGTATTGTGAGTTTTTCCATTTATGTATGGAGAAACTTCATTTGAGATCAGAGTTTCGACATTATGAGATTGAAACGAGTTGTGATCACGATTTTCAGAATTTATCATATATTTTTAAGTTATGTTGTAGAGATAAGAAAATCAGAGGTTTATAGTCTTATTTACAAGTTAATTACTTTGGTACTTACTCTTTCAATTTCTACTACAACAACAACAGAAAAAGCATTTTTTGTCATAAAAATTGTGAAGATGAGACTTCACAACAAAATAGAGGATAAAATTCTTTCAAACTCTTTAATTATTTACATTGAAAAGGAAATAATTCAATCATTTAGTATAGATTCTATTATAAATAAATTTCGTGACATGAAAACTTGTTAAGTATTATTTTAATTTATGATATAAAAGTAAGTTTTCAAAATTACAATGCATTATTTTAAGAAAGTAAGTTTTAAAAATTACAATGTATTATTTTAAGACTTGAAAAGCCGGCTCCCCCTTATTAAAATTCCTAGCTCTGCCTCTGCTCTGCATGTTCAAAGTTAAGTTCTGAAACTTCCCAATCATCTTCAGTCTGAGGTTCAATTGTGACCAGTGTAGGCTTTGGCGCATTAGACAATACTCATACTTGAACAGATATATGATTTGGTAAGGATATGCACTCTCCATATTGTTGAGCCACCTTCGCAAACAAGCAAACAACAATTTATAAGAACAAAACATGAACTTCTGAAATAATCAATAATCTTAATGGAAAACTATAAACATAGAATTCTCTAACAACCTTCAAAACATCAATCCAGCATGAGAAATTAAAGTGTAGTACAATAAAAAGCTTTGCGTGTCAGCAACACATTTCCATAGAATCATTAGCAGTTCAAATAACAGATATAGTGCATGCAATCTCATCTACCAGGAATATCTAATGCTACAATGCAGTCTTCCGAGAACATAATTCAAGAAATGAAACTAAACTCTACCAGAAGTGAAAAAGAAGTCATCTTTTAGAATGATCAGTTGTTCCCTGTATTACATTCCATGTGCGTGGCGCAACGGCCACTTACTGTCCTTTGGGACAGGCCGTGGCACTTACTGTCCTTTGGGACAGGCCGTGGTTTGCATTCCATGTCTCGGGTTTAATATTTTCCTTACACACTAACATCTCTAACACACTAACACCTCTAACCATTGCTTTTCTTAAAAAAAAAAAAAAGAAGTTGTTCCCCATATGGTCAAAAGCAAGTCAAATCAGCTGAACACGAAGAAATTTCAGCATGAAAAAATTTAATTACTACAAAGACAATCCCATGTGAGTGGAAACCTTATGAGCATGTTGAAGTGCAAGATGGGATTGGATTGGTTTGGATAAGATAATAAAATCTAATCTCATGTTTGGTGTTTCTTTGGACTGGATATAAATTTATTTTATACTTAATTAGGCAATAAGTAAGATTAGATGAGATTATCTTCATAATTTAATATATAGGCAAAAATATCCATAATTCAAAATATTTAAAAATTTTTAAACTAAAATTTGTCAACATAAAAAATATTTAAAATTTTTCAGTAATTATTAAAATTTCTCTACATAAAACAAAATATCTACATAAATAAAAAAATCTGAAAACCTAAAAACATGTTAATTTATCAAAAAAAAATTATTAAAAATGTCCACTAAAAAATTTTATTTATATAATACAAAAAGAACAATCCAAAATCAAATTTATCTAAATAATTTATTAAAAAATGATCATATTTAAATTTTGAAAAACAAAATTAAAAAAATGCATATAACAAGATGTTGAGAGATCCAGCCACAAGAGGGAGAAAGCGGAGAGCAGGAGTGAGATTTTGCGTAAAGTCATAAAAATGAAATCTCATCCACGTAATCCTAGGGGATTACGTGGGATAACTGATAACTTCTAATTCAGTTGGTTGGATGGAACAAAATGTAGGTTATGATTTGTCCAATCTTTATACACCACCAAACGTGGGCTGCAGCAGTTTAAGATTAATTTTTTTCCAATCGTGAGTTATGTCAGGGCGTCCAAACGTACGTGCAGTAAGGAGTGAATAAATTTCAGGGAAACCCATGTCAATTAGAATCAAAGATCAACAGAAATATGCACAAAGCCATGACTGGTAAAGAAAACCAAGGAGCTGCAGTGATTAATGAATACCTCAATAGCGGTGGAAGAAGACGTAGCACTAGACCATGCAACGACCCAAGGGCAGTCCTGGGCGCGTGAACGAAGCTCGAGAGTGAGAAGTGGAGGAAGGAGAGTAGAACTCGTAGACTGAAGCGTTTGGATTGCGAAAAGGAGGGAGCGATACAAAGCAGTACTGTATTCCCGCGAGATGCCTCACCTCAAACTCCATGGATATGTCGATTCAGAAGCACAAGGATTATAAGATCAGAATGATTTTCTTTTTTTTTTTTTTAAACTGGCGAAACTTGCAGGTGGGGGACTGTGTCTGACTTTAAAGTCAGGATTTTAACGTCCTAAATACCGTCCTTTAGGATAGACAAGATCATACTTTTTTTTATTTTTTTCTTGGTTCACTGTTTCGCCGTCCAACTCTACAGCACTGCAAAATCGGTACTACAAAGCCTCTGTTTTTTGTTTTTTTCGATTTTCTGTTCGGTATCCAAGGTTTCGTCCCGATTAATCTGGATCGATCCGCGTCACGTACTTGGAAATAGTGGGTGAGTCTTCTAACGGAAGCTACTGCATACACAAAGTCTCGAACTCAAGATCTTACTTAAACTGGAACAAGTAACTTACCACTTAATTCAACCCCTAGTTGGCCAAAGCCTCTGTTTGGTGCAGGTAGGGTGTTTTTCATTTTGATATTATTTATATTTTATAAATTTAAAT